CCCCGTCCCATCTCCGTTATGTGGGTGCAAACTTTGAGAGGGTGAACTTGGCCGCCTATTGGGGGCCGGCTTCTTGGAGTCGGGCCTTTCGTGGCCGGCTTCTTGGAGCCAGCCCTCTTGCGGCTTCCTTCTCGAGGGTTTTGGGCCGGGCCGCCTTCCGGTAGTCGGCTGGTGGGATAGCCGGCTGAGGGAAGGCGGCCCCGCGTCTTGTGTGCTTGAAGGCTCGATCGGCCTACCATTTAGGGGAGCCGGCTAGGCTACCCGTGGTCATTTACTCCGACAAGTTTATAATGCACCTCCCTCCATTTGTTTCCTCGTCTACATTCCACAAAAAGGTTTTGCCCTGCCGTATCAATTTTCTTAATCATCCAAGAGTTGACGACAAAGCTTGTTAGCAAATAAACTAAAGTTTACATGATGTTGATAAGTGCCAAATGCTCAAGTATGGTTAGTAATTGTCCTTTTCGACCATTTAGTATGTGTACCACCTTTTTAGTCAGTGGTTGTTTTCTGAATCCCGCGGCGGCGGGGGAGGGGGGGCACCTGTATTTTGATCTCAGCCCAAAAGAAATTGAGCCATTTTATGTGAGAAATTGGGTCAAAACCATGATCCAGCTTATGAGGGAAACCATATCAAATACCTTAACAGCCATCGGGGAATACATCTTGCTGAAGCAAGAACATAGAAAAAAGTACAAGTACAAAGATACAACACCATGCAAAGATCACCCTGTTGTACATCAGATGAATCAAGGATGTCGTTGTTACAGCAAAGGTGATGTCATAAGCACGTACTCCCTCCATCCCAAAATAAGTGTCTTAAGCTTAGTATAAATTTGTACTAGAGCTAGTATAAAGTTGAGACACCTTAAGACACTTATTTTAGGACGGAGGAAGTACATGGCATCACTAGCTTCAGAGATGGGCCCATCGAGACATCACATCATACTAGAAGACAACAAGGAGCAAACTTCAAAGTAGACACAGACGAGCTCCACTAAGTTAGCATTGTAGCAACCGAGAGGGTGAGACCACAAGCAGTCATGTCAAGGAGTTGTGCCATCACCTAGCATGTTTATCCAACACTCAAGGAAGAGGGGAAATTAACTACCCATGACATATTAAAAAAAACTCTTTAACTTTGAAAGAAAATTGTGAGGTGTTGAAAATAGGGCTGGAAAAGAAGCTCGAAGCTCGCGAGCTAAACAAGTAGCTCGTGACTCGGCTCGAATCGACTCGAATTCGAAGAATAAGGAGTCGAGCCGGGCTTTAGTTTAAGATCGTTTATAGACCAAGTTAAACGGGTCAATCTCACGAGTACTCGTGTAACTCGTTAGACTCGATACAATAGATCAGCCACTCCCAATACAAAGAAAGACCAGTCACTAAACAACCTACGTCCCAGACGCACAACGCAAGGCCCAACCGTTGAAGGCCTAGCCTCCTAGGAGATTCATGTGTTACAAGAAAATTACAATTGTTTAGTGATATATATGTTTAATATATACGTAATCATTTTTATCATATTTAAGGGCTTTATATTTATATCTTTAACGAGCTTAACAAGCTAAACGAGCCAGCTCGCGAGTTATACGAGTCGAGCCAATCTTGGGTTTGAGCTCGTTATAGTAACGAGTCGAGTCGAGCTAGCTCATTAACAAAACGAGCTCTAGCGAGTCGAGCCGAGCTGGCTCGACTCGGCTCGAATTCCAGCCCTAGTTGAAAATGTTGGTGCAACTCTTTAAAAATGTTGATAGCATTTAAAAAAAGTGTCAAGACGTATTTCAAAAAAAATGTTCAACACATATTCAAACAACAATGTTCAAAAAATGTAATGGAAAAATGTTAATCATGCATTAGAAAAATCTTAAATGTGTATGAAATAATGTTTCTAATGTATATGAAAAATGTATGTGTATAAAAAAAGTAGACATCAAAACATACATATGAAAAATCATGTATTCACAAAATGTTAAACGTGTATAGAAATTTTTTTATGTATAAATAATGTACAAGGTGTATGGAAAAAGGTAGACATCAAAAGTATATATTAAAAATGTTAATCATGCATCTGAAAATGTTAAACGTATATATATAATATGTTCCCGGTGTATAAGAAAAATGTACAACATGTATGGAAAAATTGACATAAAAATATTTGAATTTTTTATTAATCATGTATTTGAAAAATACTGAACATATGTTAAAAATTGTTTTACATGTATACCAAAAATGTACAATGTGTATGAAAAAAGAAAATAGGCATCAAAACATATTATTTAAAGAAAATGTTGAACATGTACTAAAAATATACATGATGTATACAAAAAACAGGGACTTATGTATTTGAACTTTTGTTATCATGTATTCTAAAACGTGTTCAAAACATTTATTAACCTCATGTATTTGAAGAATGTTCAATCGTGTATCAAAACAATGTTTCACGTGCGCAATGAAAATGTATATTGTGAACTGAAGAAAAGTAGACATGTGTTAAAAAGTACCACTGAAACCCGACGAGGTAACAAAAAAAACGAACAAACCTGAAAAAACAGAGAAAACACGAAATGAAAACGAAGAAAGAAACAAACAAAACCTCTGAAAAAGAAAAAAAATGGAAACCAAGAAAGAAACTATGAAAACCAATGAAAAAACAAGAAAAACATTAAAAAAGGGAAAAAACTGAGAAATACAGCTACCTCTGTGTGGGGGGGGGGATCCTTCAGTGAGACGGAAGCGACACTTTGTTTTTTCGAAAAGGGGGGACTCCCCGGCCTCTGCATCAGAACGATGCATACGGCCACTTAGATAAATAAAGTCGGTTCAACAAAGTCGTAGAGTCGTAAAACAAAATAAAGTCGAGCTCACATAGACCTCGACGCTAAAACAGAAAAAGGCCATAAAGCCACAACCGGCTGGCAAAATAAAGATAGGAAAACTAATTGCCTATCCTATTACATGAGCTTCATCCAAACCGGTTGAAGATATCCCGCGCTACCATCTCCCACCGGACAGATCCAGTAACCAAACGCTCCCTGGCCTCCGTCGGAGTGAGTAAGGACCACATACGGATCAGCGCCGTAGCACGGAATACAACCTGCAAAAAATGAATAGCAGCTATTCTCTTAAAAGCCAAATCATTTCTGCAGTTCCAAATTGCCCATAACAACGCACAAACTCCTACACGAATGTGTAGCTGTATCGGACTCTATCCCATCCAGCCACGTTCCAAATAACGACCCGACCGAACTCGGAGGAGTAATGTTAAAAGCAATTTGCACGGAGCGCCACAAAATTCTCGCCAACGGGCACTCAAAGAAGAGATGCTTAATGGTCTCATCCCGATCACAGAAACTACACCTAGTAGATCCTGTTCAATTGCGCTTAACCAAGTTGTCCTTTATTAGAATGACCTGTTTATGGACAAACCACATAAACACTTAAATTTTCAAAGGAACTTTGACTATCCAAACATGTTTGGAGCTAGGAATGACACTCGAGTTAATAACATCGATGTACATTGACTTAACGGTAAATTGTCCAGACCTAGTAAGTTTCCAACACAACTGATCGGGCTGATGATGTAGCTGGACTTCCATCAGTCTACGCACCAGATGAAGCCAAGCTTCCCATCTATCACCAACAAGCACCCTCCTAAACTGGATATTAAGGGGAATGGCCTGCATAATCGTTGCCACTAGCGCATCACGGCGATGGACAATACGATACAGAGTTGGGTACTGTAATGCCAATGGTGTATCACCAAGCCAAGTATCCTCCCAGAAGCGTATCGTTGCCATCTCCGACAATAAACTTTGTTCTATTAAAGAAGGCTTCCTTAACTCTCATAAGCCCCTTCCAAAACGGCGAATCAGTTGGTCTCACTGTCACCCGTGACAAAGTTTTGAAATGCAGATACTTGTTATGGAGAATCTGTGCCCAAGTCGCATCAGTCTCAACTGATAGCTTATATAGCCACTTACTAAGCAGGCATCTGTTCTTGACCTCAAGATTCTCGATACCCAACCCCCCTTGATCATTAGGACGACAAATAACACCCCACTTGGCGAGTCTATACTTTCTCTTAAGATCATCACTCTGCCAAAAAAATCTTGATCGATAGAAGTCCAGCCTTTTCCTAACCCCAACTGGAACCTCAAAAAAAGATAGTAGGAACATAGGCATACTTGTGAGCACCGAATTAATAAGAATTAATCGGCCTCCATTAGACATAAGTTTGCCCTTCCAGCAACTAAGTTTCTTTTCGAACCGATCTTCGATGCATTTCCATTCTCTGTTCGTGAGCTTACGATGATGAATGGGTATACCTAGATAAGTAAAAGGTAAAGCCCCTAATTCACATCGAAACAATTGCCTATAAGCCTCTTGTTCCTCCTTGGCTCTACCAAAACAGAACAACTCGCTTTTATGAAAGTTAATCTTTAAACCGGACAATTGTTCAAATAAACATAACACCAGCTTCATGTTTCTCGCTTTTGCCAAGTCATGCTCCATAAAGATGATTGTATCATCAGCGTACTGCAAAATGGACACACCCCCATCAACTAGTTTAGGCACCAAGCCTCCTACCTGACCGGCCTCCTTTGCCCTGCCTAGGAGAATTGCCAACATGTCAACCACAATGTTGAACAAAATAGGGGACATTGGATCTCCTTGCCTCAGGCCTTTGGAAGCGACACTTTGTTGAGCAAGATGGTCTTGCGATTGTTAGATTAGTGGCGGAGCAGTAAAGGTCAACCTGGGTTGTCACCCTCCAGCCTAGGAGATTTTCTTTGAGTATCCTTAATATATAGCCTATGTAAATTGTGCTTGTGGACTAGAGCACGAGCTTGCCATCAACATTGCGCTCACACACATAGAAGCAAGAAAGATGCACTCTTCAAACTGCTGTATAAATGCCAACCTAAACAACTCCAAAGTCATTCGCACGCACCTACATATTCACATTTATATCTCCCAACATTGATCACATCACATCACTACTGAGTGAGGAGGAGCCCGGTGGACGGCCTCTCCGGAGAGGAATTGTCGGTCTTGGCGCTCCTCATGTGGTTCTTGTCCATGCCACGGGTACCGTTGCTGCTCCTCATCCGCGCCCTGAAGCCCCTGCATGATTGCATGTGCGAGTGCAAATCCTGCGGCTTGAACTCCTTCCCGCACTGCCTGCAAGGGGTTAAGATCGTTGCTCGTGGTCAGTACCCCAGTCTTACATCAGCTTTCAAAAATTAATTTACCCCGCAAAAAAAGGCGTTCAAAAATTAATTTGCTCGCAAAATAAATCTTTGAACTGAAAAAGAAACTAATTTCTTGGAAGCTAACGATCGTAACACGAATGCATCAAGTTCTTTTTTTCTTTTTGAGCAAATGAGGGGTACATTAAGTTTTTTTTTTTTGAGACAATAGGGGTACATCAAGTGGCCCTGCCGATGTACAAACTTCGGCCTCAACGTTTGGCCTGGACCACGCCTTTTGAAGTTAGTTTGGACTCTATCTCAGGCTAGTGTGTGGCCAGCCTACCCAAACCAGAAAGGTGTTCCGTTTAGGCCTAGCTAGGCGAGCTCAAGGGTGGCCCAAGAAGGACGAAAGGGCCCACACGAAGTCCGACGGGCTAACCTTAAAACCAAGTCTACTGATTTTTTTTTCCTGGTGCCCATTGCCGTCACAGGAGGACACTGCGCAAGTTCGCAAGGCGTACCCAGCCCAATCCCAGACAGAACGACCGCACCGAACTAAACCGACGTGCACACGACCCGGTCAGTCGAGAGAACCGATCGAGCGAGTCTACTCTACGACCAACGGAGGAAGGAGTGGCGCTTACGAGCAGAGCGGCAGACTCGCCGGCTTGTGCGCGGCCGCGACGGCGCCGGGACGCTTCCCTCCCTCAGGCTTCGCCTTGTCTTTCCCGCCTCGCCGGAGCCTCACCTTCCTGTTCATGCTGCCAACGTCCAGAATCAGTAACAAAACTGCAAATCGAATTTGACAAAATCGAATCCAGAAACTGCACTCACTGGATGCCGCAGCCGTCCATGCCGGGGCACACGGGCGTCGTGTCCCGCCACCCGTCCTCGTCGTCGCCTGCGCTGCCGCCGCCGCTCCGCCGAGGCAGCGCGACGGGCTGGAGCGCCGCGGCGTCCACGGAGTCGGCCGCGCCGCACGTGAGGATGCTGTGGAGCACCCGCGCCACGCGCATCCTCCGCGCCCTCCCCACGGCCGGCTGCTGCTTCCTGCCGCCCGCCGCCGCCGCCCGCACCACCAACGCCTGCTGATCGATGGCTGCACGTCTCGCGGCCTCCTGCTGCCGCCGCTTTCGCTCCTGGAGGTCCAGCGGCAGGACGATCCTGAAATGCGCGGCCTCGCCCTCGCTGCTCGGCGAGTCCTGGTCGATCGGCGGCGGCGGCTTCGGGGAGCTCTCGCCGGAGTCTGGCGCCACCTGGAGCTCCTCCTCGACCTGCTTCCGGCCCTTCTCTTCCGTCCGGTGCAGTTTCTTCTCGCCTGCCAAGGAAGAAGGCTTTGGCGCGTCGGCGCAGGGAGAGGGAGGAGGGGTTCCTCGCACGTCGCAGCCCTTGAGCACGTACTCGTTGTCGGAGATGGGCGTGATGAGGTCATCGTCCATTAGGTCCTGCCATACGTACCCAGCCTTATACTTCCTGCACTTGAACAGGCGATTATTAATGGCGAGAATCAATTAACGGAAGGAGTACAAGGAAACAGCTAATCAAATCAATGGGATATAAAAGATTGCCGAAACAAAAAGTCAAAAATGATTGCACCCCAAATAACTTGATTGTTTACCTTTTGTAAGCCCAGGAGAAGTTCTCCGGCATGTCCTTGCCGCGGACCTCCGAGAGCCACCGCTTCACATCTGAATTAATCGACGGCAACACGCCATTGCCATTAGCTGCATGCAAAACGGATCGATGCATCTGAGAAGAAGAGGAGGAGGCAGCAGGTACGTACCCCGGAGGCGCACGCCGGAGCGGTGGAGGTTGTTGACGCGGAAGAGGTGGGGGTGGTCGGTCCTGCCGCCGCGGCTCAGGAAGTACACCACGTTGATCCTCCTGACCTCACCGGCGCTACCCCCCTTGTTGTAGGAGTCCATGCCCTTCTCCATCGACGGCGACAACGCAAAAGGAACAAGGAGAGCGCGATGCCACCAAAGCTACAGCTACGATCTATTTAAGACGTACGCCGCCAGGCGTGAATCTTTGGCTAACAGTTGTTGTGTGTAGGCCGGCAGGCAGTTAGAGGGAGGACGGCCGCCGGCGTGCGACGGTCAGTTCGAGGAGAAGCTCGCGTGGCTCGAGATGCGGCGTTGGACGCCTCACTGACCGAGTCGGGGGGGGGCCTGACTCCTGGTGAGATGGATAGTCTAGGTTCGGGAATCTCTCGCGGCCAAGGATTACAATGGGAGAAACTAGTATTTATATGGAGATGGAGAGGGGCTGGCTCTAGAGTCTAGACCTTCGTCTGGTGATGGATGTGATGGCCCACCTCGTAGGTCGTTATGGAGAGGAATAATCGCCATTCAAGACCGTGCCACATTCCTTACTTATAATACTTCCTTCACAGGTAAAGTTGGAGTTTAATACCCCATCTTGTCGTTGCACGGTTTGAGTTCTTTTTGTTGCTTGGTTCGAGAGGTTTGCTTGTCACGCCTGCCGCGCGGTATGTTGTACGATTGAAATTAACCGAGCTGTTTTTTTTCTTTCAATTCAATTCAATCAAGGAAAAGATCAACATGCCGACAGTCCAGAAATAGAATTCCAATTGCGAGTTCTTTTTTTAAAACACAGTACAGACAAGATTTTGGATTTCGTTTTCCAAATTTTACCGTCCCTGGACAAAATGGGCGAAATTCGCTATTTCGGAAATTTTTCGGAAAATCTCGGGCGAAAAGCATGATCCAAATTTTGAAATTTTGAATACATCCAAAATTGTACCAAAAATTTGGAATCCTACAGCAAAGGAAACAAAGCTGAATCTTACATAATCGCAACTATCAGTTGAATGTGCACCCATGAATCGCTTCAGTTGCAGCAAACTCCAATCAGGAACTTGATAAAACTAGAAGGAACCCCTCAATACTTACAACTTATCTTTCTCCTTGATTAGTACTCCCTCCGTAAACTAATATAAGAGCGTTTAGATCACTACTTTAGTAATCTAAACGCTCTTATATTAGTTTAGAGAGGGAGTACATGAATCCCGCTGCCCAGAAACGAACGCAGAACGCCTGCATCACTCCTGGTCCCGCTCCGGCCGCTCATACTAGCACTCGTCGATGCGCCAAGCTGCGGACAGAGCCATGTGGATAATGTTAGCTTGTAGTCCAGCACCCCTGTAGCCGAGGGCCGAGGCGATGCACTCAGGAGGAGGCGGCGGCGGGAGCACATCGGGGTCGGGCGCGACAAAGGCGCCGCCGCCGGAAAAGAGGTGGGGATTTCACTGCTTTTAGGGTTACGGGTCGCTATCCAGGCCTTTTACTTCATCGGAATGGTTATGCGGGCTAGGCTGGACGTTGGGTCAGCCCACAAATTCAAATAGGGCCGAATTATTTGGGCCGGCAAACTAATCTACCGGGCCCTGACGAAACGGACGGATTTCGTCCGGGATTGGTTTTTTCCGGCTCTTTCTCAAAAAAAAAAGGTTTTTTCCGGCCGAAAACCAAAACTTTATGAGCACCTTCGAGAGATTGAGCCGCCATATCAACTTGAGATTTTATGAAGTTATAAACGACCCGTAGTCGACGGGGATGTCTCCTTCCCTGAACGCGCATCGCCGAAAAATCTGAAATAAATTCAGTATAAATACGAGAACCAGGAGTTAAACCCTGATGGATTGAGGATACCACTATCCTCCTATCCATTCAACCATAGATTAGTTCGCATCCATTGCGAGTTCGTTGGTTGTAGCCTCTTCGCTCTTCAAGGCGTTCCTCTCTGTTCCTTGACTTCGACAATTATCCAACTTCGTAAGTTCCAATGATAGCAATGCGGTAGTGACCTGACGAGTGACGAGTGATGATGACCTGGTAAGTTTAGCAATGACAAATGTTCTTAACAGTATCTACCATGCAAGCAAATTTATCTCTCTTCAGATTGGCCAAGTCAGAACTGCACCCTCCCTCATTTTTCTAATTTTTTTTACGGGTATGCACCTTCTCTCTTCCTCAAAACTAGTGGCGAATCTAGGGGGTTGCTACGACAAGCTCGAGTCGCCCTCTAAAAATTGGATTTTCTTTACTAGAATTCACCACAGCTTTGTATAAATCTTTTACCTTATTTGAACTAAAAAACTAGGAGTTGAACTAAAAAAAACTAAGAGTTTGTGGCCTTTTTTTGCACATCGTCAACATTGAGCCCTCATTTTATTTTCTTTCGAGATTCGCCACTGCTCAAAACAATGAAGAATTGCACCCTTGGGAGCTTTCTGCCTCTGCTACCGACTGTTTTGGAAGGCTGTAACCGGGTCGTAGCTACTCGTAAGCCTGCCATTTGTCGACTACTTTTCGACCTGGCAGCCTGGTCGATCAGACCCAAAGGACTAAAACTATCTGGCCGCTTACCCCACGGCAGCGTTGTGTCTATTATATTCCTCGCAGGCTTTGCCACGGTACGCACTTCCATTCTCCGGCATAAAACGAATTCCGAATTCGTTTCTACTATAATGTTTCCTCGCTAGGACTTTGTGTTTCTTAGTTAATGTGTTGGGTCAACCTAACGACGTGATGGTACGTACATGTCGATGCCGACGGTTGCAACAGCTTTACGGTGTACTGCACCGTCGCTTTCTAGCTAGCTTAGCTTCTTTATAAATAACTCTACTCCGTACAGGAGGACCTCAAGCTAAGCCGAGCACCCATTTGCAGCGACTACACTGCAAAGGAAGAATAGTGCCTAGATAATGGTTGTTCGAACCTAAAAAAAGAAAAGATAATGGTTGTTCGCACGCGATAGGCGGCAGGTTTTCCTCGCTGGCAACATTTTGTTACTGTATATGTTAACAATTGCCAATCTTTCGCCATGGATTTGCATGGTTAAAATATTACTGCATACACTCGAGAGAAAAGAAGTTACTGTATACTATTTGTGTCAGTATACAAGTACGTAGCCGAGACCTATATGTTTACCGCAACTGGACAAAAATTTGGCTGTATTGGCCCAGACTAACGCCAAATGGTCGAACCTTAGGGTCTGTTTAGTACTGCTCCTTTTCATTAAAATCAGTTTCAATTCAAAAAAAAATGTCAGTTTCATGTCCTAAAAAAATCAAAATTTGTTTCACTCTGTCAAATCCATTTTTAAACAGTTTCATACAGAAACATGAAAGAGCAGTTTATCATGTTTGTCTTTCAACTAGCTCTAACTTCAAGAATGACAAATTAGTGGAAAATGTCTATTTGAGGAGACAATGTGAGAAAAATGAAGAACTTTTTTTGGGTGACCAAAAAAGTGCTATTGGGAGCCCTAAAAAGTGGTTTTTGTGGAACTTTTTCTCGGTGAGTTGTTGGAGATGCTCTTAAGAAATTGTTTTATTTTTCTTATTTTTTTCAATGAAACTTTCCATTCATCGGTGCATTTTTAATTTTTTTTAGTACTTCGTCGGCGGGGCTAACTCTTGCCGTCGTTGGAGCTTGGAGGAGTCTCGATGCCGTGCCCTCGGAACGCAATGCACCAGAAGATAGGCACGAGCGAACCAACCTGTGGTTGGATGTTTAGGACGGCAATGGTATATCCATCAAAGTTCAAGTCCTGGTGCTCGCATTTATTCTGAATTTATTTTAGGATTTCCGGCGACGCGCGTTCAGTGAGGGGAGATGTTCTCGTTGACTATGAGACACCTGCAGGACTTTGTAAAATCTAAGATGATATGCCAGCTCAATCTCTCAGAGGTGCCCATAGTGGTAGGGTGTGCGTGCGTATGTTCATAGGGTTGAGTGTATGCGCGTATATATGAGTGCTTGCGTCTATTGTGTTAAAAAAAAGATGGTTGCGAACAACATGTGGTTGGATGGTTAGAGGGACTATGGTATCCCCAGCCCAGCACGTTTCAAGTCCCGGTGCTCGCATTTATTTTTTAATTTATTTCAGGATTTTCGACGATGTGCATTCAATGGGAGGAGACGTTTCCGTCGACGACGAGATACCTATGATAAATTCGTAAATTTCAAGATGATATGCCGACTCAATATTTTGAAGATGCTCATAGAGGTGGGGTGTACGTGTGTATGTTCATAGGTTGAATGTATGCGCGTGTATATGAGCGCTTGCATTTGTACCATGTTAAAAAAAGAACAAGGCACATACCCCTGACCAATAAAAAAAGACGGGCACGATGCATTTTGTCAACCCCCAGCCGCCTCTGCACATTCTCCGTGGATCGCCGCCGATTCCGCCTTCGGGCCGCCACTCCCCGCGCAACTGGAGAGACGAAACCATCGGCTCCTGCCACAGATTGCGCACACCGCTAGTGCTAGCCTTAACTTAATGTTAGCCTGTCTCTTCAGGTTCTTGTTCGAACCATGTGCCTCTTCGCTTCCTGCAGGTTCCGCTTCACTCTGTTTGACTCGGTTCAGTTTTGACATTTTGCCTTACCGGTGCGTCTCCTCAGAGGTTATGCACGCCTGATATTGATATAAATGTTATTTTGGTAAAATTCAGGATGTCACAGGCTCACATCATAGCAGGTGCCGAGCTTCTCTTTTTCCTCATCTTATTCGTAGACTCACATCAGATACATACATACATCACACACCACCCACCTGTCCTGTCCTGGCGCTGGAGAGCTGAACCGGTCCAGCTGAAAACAACAGCGGGAGGGAAGGACACATATACACGACACTTATAATCGCACATGTACTACAGTACGCTACATAATCGCACATGTACTACAGTACGTGCGCGTTTCTATCAGCTCACGAGTATGATGGATGGGTCGCAGCAGCACTCGTCGACGAGGCAGCAGCAGCACAGCGCTGCGAGGCTGCAAGCATCTCAGATCAGTGACTGCTCACATAATAATTCACACAGAGGAAAGTAAGAAAAACCCATCAGGTTCCTGGCTCTTTATTGCGTACGTACCATCCTTCGAGGAAGTCCGTCTGCCGTCTCG